TCCGTTAAAAACAATTGGTAGTTATGGATCTTTATTATTCCCTGAAAAAAACTAAAAAAATGAAATTTATTGTTACCAGTTTTTACTCCGGTGAGCTGCCAAGATGAGACAATCTAGCGTGACCCAATGGTGGGTCACCCCGGCGTGAACGTGTTAAAGAGGAAAAATGGGTTTAAAGCGCAATAACTGCGTTGTAATGCGTGACGCTTTTATATTTTACACAGCATTTCAAATATAATTTTGACTAACAATATTTTTAATCTTTCTAAAAAGCAATGTTTCTTATGATTACATTTCTAGTGTAAGTAAAATTTATGTTTTCAATTGTGATTCTTGGTTAAGTAAATTTGATTTAAAATTATTTTGCTTACCACTGCGCTTATGTAATTCAAAAGTTCAGTTTCAACTGATTTAGTCACATTAGTGAAAACCAAGTTATTCTCTTTTAACACACATATCACCATTGTCAAAACCGCAAAATATCTAGGTTTCGTCATAAACAGCAAGTTCAATTGGATCATGATCATGTCAAATCAACTATATAAATAAGGCACAAGCAATCTGTCATACATTAGTCCCGCAGTGGACTGATCGTGGACACAGTAACAGAAAAGAACTACCTGATTTTAAAAAAAATAAAAATAATTTTAAATTGATGAGCTGTAATAAATCTCAATATTGCTCGTCCCGCAGCGGACTGATCGTTAAGACACGGTTCCCAGTAGAATAGAGAAGTCAACAGCATCACTGGCTGCTGTCAGTAAGCGGGTGGGTGACCACTTTGATCAGCCTTCGTAGGGACCAAGTCTGCGCGGTATCGATTAACTGCTTTACCGTCATTGGACTACCAAAGCAGGGGAGCCATCCCCTCTGTGGAGTATCAAAATAGCGATGCCACATCTTCGGATCATCCTCTTGGACGTTTCTCAGATCGTCGCCAATAGCCATCACCTCCTACATCAGAAAGATTCCACACGGTATTTTATAAGTAGTCTGCGCAGATTATTTAAAAAGTGAACCCCTCGCTTATATATTCCCCGTTATATGATTTCCGTACGAGAACGGAAGGCATGTAATCGAGTTGTAAGTCCTCATATTTTTTTTATAAGTTCTTTATTTACTATGTCATTGAGGATGATCATAGTATTAGTTTATAGCTATAAAGTATTTCCCGACATATTAACATGTTCATGCCAGGGTGACCCACCGGTGGGTCACGCTAGATTGTCTCATCTTGGCAGCGCACCGGAGTAAAAACTGGTAACAATAAATTTCCTTTTTTAGGTTTTTCCGGCAATAATAAAAATCCATAACTACCAATTGTTTTTAACGGATGCAATTTTTATACTGATTTGCTTCTTCGCCTTGATAAATTTCCTTACAGTGAATTGTTATTGTTGAGAATAGATTAACTCCTCCCGAATATTATCTAATATTGAAATAGTTCTACCAGTATTTTCTGTTTTCCCGAACCAGTATTTTCGCATTTCTGCATAAACACAGTTTTATCTTATCAGATTGGATAAAACCGGACATTCTAGTTTCCAGAAATAACTAATTTCCCCTTTAACACTAGAAAGATTAAAACTTAGTATATACCCATATTGACCAAAAGCAGTCAAAATAACTGGATCGTAAGACCAATAGTAACCGACGGAGTTTGCGGATAAGGGTTTCACCCGTTTGCACGTGAACTAAACACTACAAAACCACAGAAAAGTAAAAGTACAAAATTATAAAGATTGAAACACATAGGAAAAATACCAAAATCGAAAAAATAAAATTAAAATAAAACAGTATAAAAATTAAAAGTGCTTAAAACATCAAAGTAGATAAGATCAACCGACAATAAAAGTGTCAAAAATACAGGTAAAAACATATAAAAGTAAGGTCAGGTAAAACATCAAATGGTAAAATATGAAAAACCACATTAGAAACAAATAAGACTAAAATAAGATTAATAGAATAATTAAAATAGTCGACTAAAAGTTCAAGTGTCTCCCTTTCAAGTGCCTCTAAGATTAAAAATGATCTAAGGTAAACCAAAGTTTCACTAAAAGGATAAACAAAGATGACACCAGGTAGGACAGAGGGTGCTGAAGTTGACCAAGAGCAAGAAAAACAGGATCGTAAAAGAATAAATGACGTGTAAAGAAATTTGATGAAAATTTTTAATATTTTTTATATTATTTACAGTTATATAACAAGTTATTAGTAAATATTAACAATGTATTAAAAATTATGTTATTAGTAAATATTAATTATATGTTGTACAAAATTCTAAGAAATTGTGTCACTATATACATCATTGTTTTTCTAATTCAAATTAAAAGCAGTCAAAATAGGTAATTTAGTGTTAAATATAGTTTTATATACAGTGAATATTTTTTTTTGGAGCTTATTGGCTAATATATCATTTAGATGAAAATTTGAACAATTTAATTAATGGAGTTGCATGCTGGAGAATAATAAACCTTAAAGACCCAATTTTGTCTGATTTTCCTTTACATCATAATTGTTCGAGTATCGGTCACAGCATTTTAGATAACGGACAAACATTCTTTCTTTTTTTTCTCCAAACTTTTATTCTTTAACAGATTAAAAAAATAATAACTCAATTTCTTCTCATTAAAATGGTGAAAAGTTATCCTTATATCTCTATTAGAACGCAGTTTGTCTTTTACAAGGTATTGAACGTGGGGCTATGAAGAAACATAAAACTTTTTTTCCTCCCTGATAATTATTCTTCAGAATTATTCAACTTCAAAATGATACACAAAATTGAAAATGATAACTGTATGGAATTTGAAATAGGGGCCATTCAAATATTGCATAAGCACTTAAAGGAGAGAAGGTGTTTATAATTTCCTTATTTTTGTAGATAAGCCGCAGTAAGTGTGTGGATAATGCTTGTGTAAGGCCTTAAAATCCATTATTTTCAAGAAAAAAACATGAAATTACACTTTGTAATTTTTTATATTCGAAGTAAAAGTTTTATTTAGGAAAAGAAAAGGGCCGGGATGGCCAGGTCGCTGGACTCTCGTTCTTGTGAACGGGAGTTTGAATCCAGTCAGCAGAAGACTCCCCGTGTAGTAAATGGTGACAGGTTCACATTAAATCTGTTGGCTCACAAAGTCCTTCACGTTCCTATAACAAATTGTACCTCTGGGGGTACTGAATTGGAGATTGATCGTTCTCTGGTTCAGGTCAAAATTACGATATGTGGGCGAATGAATGGCCGTATGAATAGGTCCGCCCTATAAACGGGTATGACGTATGGGTGGGGAGGAAGTCAACTACTTAGCCATAGATGGTGCCACTGAAAAACAAGAACAATCGCACCCTTTGCCTTAATGGCCTACGACGACAACAACAACAGGAAAAGGAAAAAGCTAGACAAATTTCTTTAACGTATTTCAAAAATTTTAAATGAATAAAAATTAATGCGAAGTTTAAATTTAATGTTTTGTTTAAATTTAATCCTAAAATTAAAAAAAAATGATAAGAAAGTAGATTAATATGTCAATAGTTAAAGCAAAAAACAAGGGAGTTAGCGAATTTCTTACGCAAGCACAAGATGAGGTTGGCATAGCTGCCAACTTTTAATTCAACTTATTGAATTAAAATGAAGATAGTGGACAATTAGTTATTAGACGTTAATGATAAACTCACATTACGAGAAGTAACTGGTCCTTTTAAAACTATTTAACTGTAGTGGTTGTCAAAACTATGTTAAATCAAATTCGGTAACAGGTATTAGGCATAAATGAAAAAAAAAAAAAGCTTTTAAATTAAATACAAGAATAAAATCTTCTGGAAAATCTTGAAAATTGAGATGTAATTTTTTAAATTTTTAAAAAATTACCAAAAAATATACTAATTTATATATAGTATATAAATATGCTTGTTCTCTTTAAACATACTTATATTTTAAAACATACTTATATGGTTATTATTATACTTTTAGGTATGATGTATTATATTTAAATAAAACATTCTTATGCGGTGTTTGGTTTGGTGTTTTGATAAAACACTCTGTATGATGTTTAAATAAAATATATTTTTATAGTGTTTGCAATAATATTATAACAGAAGTTTGTAGAAAATTTTAATAACTCGAAGTGCATTTTTAACATACTCCTAAATATTTGCGCATGCATTTTGTACTCCTAAATTTTTAATTTTTAAAGATGCACGAAAGTAAATAAACTAAATACATTTTTGTTTGACACTAGTAGGCTACAATAAATGGTAATAAATGAGGGGCTAAGAGTAATATAAAAGTTACTCGTCTTAGCTATCTCTGCAAATTATGTATCAGAGATTATAAAATTTATATTATACATATTTTTCCTTATAAATATTTTGCATCATTACTTCAGTATTTGATTTCAGTTGAGGACATTTTGCCAACTTTTATTTCTTGAGACATTTTATAAAAAGTACATTTTTGTCATTGTTATGATAGATTTGAACAGCGGAAGTTCGATACACTGAAATCAAACAATGTGTTTCGAAGGCTAAAGGAATTTTCACCATTTTTTAAATATTTCCCCCTTAACAGACTGAACTTGAGGCACGCAAGATGGAAAGTCAAACAATTGTGCAGCTAAGCCTAAAGGTATTTCCTCCATTTTTAAATACTTCCCCCATGACAATTCGAACTTGAGACACGCAAGACGAGTAATAAATTAGTTAATTGACAAATTATGCTTTTAAGCATAATTTGTCAATTATATAAATCACCTGAGTTATTTAAGTTATTTATAAACTCGGGTGATGTCATCTAATTCCGTCGATCAAAAGAAATTCGATAGAAATTCATCTGTAATGATTGCGCAAGCATTAAGCAATTGAATTTATTTTACGGTTAATTATTTTTGTTCGATAATGATAACAATTCAAGGCATCAAACAAAATACATTGTCGAAGATAAAGAAAACGGAAAAATGCAGCGCAGAGCGACCTTGACATCCTGTTTGGAAGAAGGATTATTTGAACTTAATTTCTTATTGGATTCCCCGCCACTTTGCAAATCATAATCTCTCGTTTTCTCGTTTTTAGTTTTTTTATGGGTGATTCAAAAATGAAAGTTGAAAATATGTAAGCACATCACGCTTTGTTTTCACCCTGTAGCTATATCACGCTATTGAATCTGTGGATATCTTCTGCGTTACACAACAAGAGAACACTTCGCGGAGGAATACCATCCGGTGATACTTCGTACTATATTTTATAACCACTAAATATCTAATTTAAATAGTGCGGAGGAATACCATCCGGTGTGACTTCGTGCTATATTTTTTAACCACAAAATATCTAATTTAAATAGTTGTTTTTGTGGTTTTAAACGAGCTTCCTAGAATAAAATGTTTTAAGTTTTTAAAATATAAAGTTGAGAGAAACTGGAATTTATTTCCATTCAGTAAAGGTTTTTGTGCTTGATGTCAACTGTTGCAGCAAATCTTTCTAATAATATGAACTATATTTGTGTGATTGATGAGAGGCATTATTATGAAAGAAGCGTTGACATTATGACGGAATAATTCAGGTAATAATTTTGGTTTTTCTTTTTTGCAATATAAACCAATATTAACTTGTACACCTATAGCTGCAAACTTGTGCGGATATTGGAAAAGACTTTACGATTTCGGAGTAAATTAATAATTAAATTGAGAAGAATTTTCTGAAAGTTAATCCATTTGAACCTGGCGTCTCTCTTTTAACCCTTTAATGGGCCATTTATTTCTAGTATAAGTAAATTAAAGAATGTTTGGAATTGAAATTTGTATAAGAATCGTAATTGATATAAGGAAAAAAAAACTAATTGAGCTTATAAAAAATTAATCTAAATTTTAATGCCATTTTTTTGGTGGTAAGTATACTTACCACGGCCTATTAGGAACTTATTGACTTTTATTTTGCGTTATTTATAAAATAAATTTTATAAATGCTACAAACTTCAAAAGGAATTATGCATTTTATAACTTTTATACGTTTTCTTAAACTAACAAATGGTTACCAAATTTATTCAAACCCACTTCAAGAAAGCTGAAGTTATTAAACAAATGGAAACCTAAATTAAATGAGGTAAGAAAGTTTACCATGGACTCTAAAAAGTGGTGGTAAGTATACTTACCACGGCCTTCGAAAGGGTTAAAAGGACTTTATTTTATTTTACAAAGAAATGAGTGGTAGCCAATGTGTTTTTAGGTTAGGATTTATTTTGCAACAATTAGATAGTTTTTTCTACCATATTTTATTTTCATTTAACATTTAATGACAATACTTTTTTAAAAATAAAGTGACACACAACAGAAAGAACTATCCACTTGGAATAAACAAACATGTACTCCTATTTTCATATTAATTTTTTTCATAAATAGAACATTGTCTGTGCCTGAGAATTAATGGGAAAATTAATATAAATGGGTTAATATGCTATACGTCTGGTTCAATATTAACTTTTTACATTTAGTTTTGACTTAAAAGCACTTTATGTAAAAAGTCGTAGATTATTTATGTTTAGATTTTAATGATTTCAGAGTTTGTTTACAATTTGACATTATTTAACAAGCTGGATAATTTGAACAAAATGGCATTTTATATGTATGTTTGAATTACTAATATTTTGTGGTGGAAGAAAATTAGAAAAATAAGCCAAATTCATTAAACCAAGAATTAAGTATTAAAACATAAATGATGTTAATCCTGAGAAAATATCCCAAAGCAGAGGATTTAAATAAAAGTAATAAGTAAAATAGTCCGACGTAAAGATGCAATTGACCGACTTTCTTGCGTAAAAATAAAATAAATAATAACTAGAATAAAAACGTAAAGTCCCTCTCTTTTCTTTTTAAGTTTAACCTTACACCGTGACCGAGGTGTCTTATCAAAAATTTAAAAATGTTACCAATTTAATTTATTTCATAATAAAGTGCGAGTTGTAGCTCTCACTTTATTTTAGGCCTCTGCTATTGCCCAACCGCAAAAGTGGTCTACTTACATGATATTTGCTGAATCTCTCATTTTTTGCCGGAGAGTTTCTTTCGAATTTTAAAGTTTTAACAAAATGTAAACATTAATGTTATCTAACAAAGTTGATTTATGATACTTATGGCCATTATTACTGATAAATAATTAAAAAAAAATATGCGAAAACCTAACAATATTAAGTGCCTGCTTGTTTTAATAATTTCTTCCTACTATTTTAAAATCAATTGTTATGGATCTAAAACGACGAAGAATCTAAACCAGATTGTGAAAAAAAAAGCAACAGCATTTAAATGAAATCAATATTTCTTTCAGCGTGATTTATTTATTTAGCTTTAACCGCTTCATAATTTAGATCCACATTAGTGAACCTTCGTTTCTTAGCTTCTAAAAACACGCTATAAGACAATTTGTAGTTTGATCCTTACTGAAGAATTCGAGGATGTTTAAGCTTTCTTGGGATTTCAAGAGATGCAGAAAATGCAAGTTAATTGGGTAGAATACCACATAAACAGAAGTGATTTTCGAAAAATTATATAAAATCTACGTGCCCGAAAACGATAGTAATTTTAAGTATTATATAATTTTATTCTAATTTTTTTCCCTTTTAACTTAGTAGTTCCGTGATTTGTAAGAAGCTTTTAAATTTTTATTTACTTAATATTTAAAATAATGCAGACAAAAACACGCAGGCTCATGTATGTGTACCTTGTTATCGTATGGTTAAATTTATGACAGTAGTTAAGAGAAATCTCATATTAAATCTATATAAAATATATCTATTTAGAGAGATTATATCTATTTAGTAATATTTTTATGTGTATTTCAATTAATTGTTTTATGTCTACCTTGGTATCGTAGGTCAAAATTAATGACAATGTAGTAGCTAAGAGAAATCTCATAGTATTATAAAATCTGTATAAGATATATCTATTTAGAGAGATTATGTCTATTTAATAATATTTTTATGTGTATTTCAATAATTTGTTTTATGTGTACCTTGGTATCGTGGGTCAAAATTAATGACAATGTAGTAGCTAAGAAAAATCTCATAGTATTATAAAATCTATATAAGATATATCTATTTAGAGAGATTATATTACTAAATTAGTAATATTTGTATGTTTATTTCAATTAATTGTTTTATGTGTACCTTGGTATCGTCGGTCAAAATTAATGACAATGTGGTATCTAAGAGAAATCTCATAGTATTATAAAATCTGTATAAGAGAAATCTATTTAGAGAGATTATATCGATTTAATGATATTTTTTTATGTGTGGTTATTAAATTGTTTTATGTTTGGCTACATACATACGTTTAATGACTAACTTTTTGTGTTTTTTCCCCATATTTTTGAAATTTTACAGTCAAGAGTAAAATATTTTTTTTAATAATTAGTGTTAGATTCTTTTGAATTATTGTTTGTTTGGCGTGGTATGCATGATTAAAATAGTTTTGAAACTGCTATATAAAGAAGTATTGCAATGTCCTTAAAAAAAACTTCTTAAGAAAAACTTTTTTCCCCTCCAAATTATTATTAAATCTATTCATCACTGAATTTAAATAGACCATAATATAACAATTTGCATATTTGTTCTTACTTTAGGTGCAATTTAACATTTGTAATATTTATATTTGTTCACTTACTTAAGACCACGTAAGTGTACTTAAAATTATTAGCCCCCTGGTAGTATAATTCATATTTTCTTTGTCTAATTATTACTTATGACAGTAAAATAGAAATTCGGAATTGTAAAATATTTTTTTGCTATATTCCTTTATACTTTAGTAAAGAGGTTAATAAAGAATTATAGCAGCAATGGATTCAAAATGCCTGTCGTTACTTTTTCATCAAATTAGAGCCCATGGTATTAAAAGAACAGCCAATTTTTCACGCTTTTTGAGAAAATTTCTTTTAGCGATACCTTAGTTTATGTTTTAATGTTTATAATTCTTTGCGCTGTAAACTTGATTCTATTATCAAATTATGTTTACAAAATTTCTAATTATGTTTACAATTCATTGCGCTGCAAATTTGATTCTTTTATCAAATTATGTTTAGAAACTTTCTAATTATGTTTATAATTCATTGCGCTGTAAATTTGATTCTATTATCAAATTATGCTTATAAAATTTCTAATTATGCTTATAATTCATTGAGCCGCAAATTTGATTCTATTTTAAATTATGCTTATAAAATTTCTAATTAGTTTATATATTTCATTGCGCTGTAAATTTGATTCTATTATCTAATTATGCTTATGAAATAATCAAATTATGCTTACAAAATTTCTAATTGTGTTTATAATTCATTGCGCTGTAAATTTGATTCTATTATCAAATTATGCTTATAAAAGTTCTAATTATGTTTATAATTTATTGCGCTGTAAATTTGATTCTACGTTATTTTCCATTCCACTACATGCATATAAATCAAAAGTTTATTTAAAACGCACTTTGTTTAACTCTCTCGTGGTAAAGCTTTTAAAAGGTTGGCAAAATTAACAAAAATTTTGAAAGCTTCAGCTGTTAACCGTCTACACCAGAGGTCGCCAAAGTGGTCTATATAGACCCCCAGGGGTCTATTGACCCCCGGGGGTCGATCTGAGCCAAGGGGTCGAATGGGGGTCGATCCGAACCGGCAGGGTTGATTGGTCGAAGGATTATCAGTATTTTCAGATATGTGACAATTAGAAATAAAAGAAGAAGACTTGGAAATAGATACAGGTAATCTTCAAAAATTGAGCGACGATTTTAAACTGCGTTTTGTTGATTTGGAAAACATTGACATCCCTGATTGGATTATTGTGCCATTTTCTGCTCAAATTGAAAACGTGGACATCAACTTGCAAGATGAGCTTGCTGAATTATTATGGGGATTTGAAGCAAAGACGCTTTTTAAAAATTTAACAATAAGCAAATTTTGGACAAATATAAATATAATGCAAAAATATGTAAGACTTTACGAAATAGCTCAGCCATTTATGATAGCATTTCCAAGTTCCTATATGGTTGAAGCCGGTTTCAGTCACGTAAATTCAATCTTAACTAAGAACAGAAATAAATTAAATGTGGAGTTTCGAGGGGATTTAAGATTAAAATTGACCAATTTTGAACCCAATATAACGAACCTTGCAGAAAAAAAAACACCAGGCACACCCATGTCATTGATTAAGAAGCAATAAATCCGTAGTTACTTTACTTATTATTTCTACTTACTTATAATTACTTATTATTTCATAAATATTAAGGTATTTATATTTCAACATTAATATATTTTTCATAAAACTATTGTTACACTATGTACTATTACTTTAATAAATGTTCAAAATCATAAAATAAATGTACAAACACAGTATCTAATAGAGTTTTATTTTAATTAACAGAAAATTACTTTTATGGGGGTCGATGGAGATTTCGAAAAATAATGTAGGGGTCTATGATCAAAAAAGTTTGGCAACCCCTGGTCTACACTATCTAAATTATTTTGTATAAAGTGCAGTAGTTGTCAGGCCTGTATTAATTAATAGATTCACAAATTTGGAAGAAAATATAA